CCGATTGACTTCGTGAAGAACACGGCGGTACTCGAGGAGAAAGTGTTCCAAGTCAGCGGCGGTCTTCTCCAGTTCGTCCTTGATAAAGGCGCGTTCGATTCTCCATGGCTTCTTGGCCTTAACTCTCTGCACCCGCTTCTTGATAGAGCGGGGCGCAACGCCGCACGTAAGGCAGTTCCGTAAAAAATCTGCATTCTCACGACCACGGATGATCCGGCCTTTGCACTTTAACACATAATTCAGGTCCTGAATTAGTCGGTGGTCCAGTCGCCGTTTTAAATATTTAAATAGAGACGTAGGCGAACAAAATTTGTATACACACAACAACAAGGTTGTCAGTTTCATAACACTAAAAGCTTTTCACCCATTTTCATCAGTAGATACATGGGAATGAGCAAGAACGAAAACGAAGCCAGAATTTATACTGGGGGTAGAGAATCAGCAAGAATATTCTTACGCGCCTCAAGTTCACACTACACTACCATAAGAATGTATGGAGCAGTGGAAAAATGCGGGAAACAACACATGAGGGGAATGCAGTACCAGAACAAACACGTGATAAAGTTGTCAGTCCGGTTGCAGCTTGAACAGCCGCAGCACCTTGATGTGCTTCTTTTGTCGACACAGCTCTGGCCTCAAACTGCCCCAGACAAGCTGTACAAGAAGCCGCCTGACAAACGTGTGGCAACAAGTGATAGCGCCATCACAAAGCATTTGCAGGCGCAACCTGAATGCATCCCGCAAGAACGCAACAGCAGCTTCAGTGTCATCACACCAGCCCGGAACAGCGCGCACAGATTCACACTGGAGGCGCTGTACATTCGCAGTTTGAGGCCAGAGCTGTGTCGACAAAAGAAGCACATCAAGGTGCTGCGGCTGTTCAAGCTGCAACCGGACTGACAACTTTATCACGTGTTTGTTCTGGTACTGCATTCCCCTCATGTGTTGTTTCCCGCATTTTTCCACTGCTCCATACATTCTTATGGTAGTGTAGTGTGAACTTGAGGCGCGTAAGAATATTCTTGCTGATTCTCTACCCCCAGTATAAATTCTGGCTTCGTTTTCGTTCTTGCTCATTCCCATGTATCTACTGATGAAAATGGGTGAAAAGCTTTTAGTGTTATGAAACTGACAACCTTGTTGTTGTGTGTGTATATATATATATATATATACTCAATCTGCGGACAGAACTGTTTCGTCCTATATTCCTATTCAAGAAAGCATCGATGCGGCCATGGAGTTATTAGAAGAGCATGAGGAATCGGTTGATATGTTCGCACTGTCATTATCAGACATACGCGAAATGCTCATGTTTGTCCTCGAGTCAAATTTCTTTGAATTTGACGGCGCCATCTATCGACAACAGCAGGGTCTAGCTATGGACAACCACCTCGCGCCCCCATTGGCTATTATCTTTATGTCGAAATTCGAGTCACGTGCCCTGTCTGAGTATCCCCTGAAACCGCTCTTATATCGTCGGTATATTGATGATTGCATACTCGTTTGGATCTTTGGTATTGCGGCATTTCTGGCATTTGTTGATTATCTCAATTCCCGCCACCCACGCATACAATTCACCGCAGAATATACACAAACGACCAACTCTCACACCATCAGTTACTTGGACCTGTCAATCTCGGTGTCAGGTGGCAAGTTGGACTGGGAGTTACTTGTCAAGTCGTCCCATAGTGGTGTACATTTGTCATATTTGTCTGCTTTGCCAATGGAAACAAAAATCGCTGTCGCCAACAACCAGATCCGCAGAGCAGTCAACAACGCAACAACGGAGGCAGGACGACAACGGGGGATTAAAAAGATCACCACACTCCTCCTTGAGAACCACTACCCACGACGCATTATACAATCAGCCATTCAACACTCCAACACCGCACGGACAACCCCACGCATCCGAGAGCAGCCCCACCAGCAGACACCACACCGGAAGGCGAAACGACAGTACACGTCACTTGTCAAGGTACCGTACGTAAATGACCAGCTTGCAAGGAGGGTTCGTCAAGTGGTCACGTCGTTTGATAGAGATGTGCGTGTGGTCTTTACGTCTGGTCGCTCACTAAAGGATATGTTGGTCTCGTCGTCATTCAGCAAGCCACAATGCCCCAGGACGGTACAGCAGCAGAGGGAGAAGAGGGGGCGGGGTCGGCCGGCTGAATGTCGTGCATGCGATGGTGGTCTGAAGCGTGATGTTTGTATGTCCCAAGATGTGGTGCACTCTATGAAATGTACCATCTGTCAAGAAGAATACGTCGGGGAAACAGAAAGGACAACACGCAAGAGGACTGAGGAGCACTACAGACAAGCCAAGAACGCGACACTGGGAAAGCCATGGGGAGACCGTTATCGACAAAAGCAGCACACCTTCCCATCGTCACCGCGGTTCTCGCCGTTTTCCCATCTACAAGTTCTCGCCAGCAGGCAACGGTCATACGTTGACCGCAGAATCATGGAGGCACTATTCATGAGGAAGAGGAAGCCTGCATTGAACAGTGACAATGGTTGGCGACTGTTGGGTGACGTGTAAATATATCTGTCATAATTTGTGCAAGAATGTGTGCACTGTGTGTGTGTGTGTGTGTATGTATGTGCGTGAGTGTTGCTAGAAGTGTGTATTTTTCTGCTTTGCACTCACACTAGTAATCTTGCACTATCACTTCACTTCATACATATCACACAGAATATTCTCGCTTCATGTGGTATTGCAACATTTTACGCTATACCATCACACTTTGGCCACTAGTACTTGTCATATATATATTATATAAACCCCTGTTTTGTCTACAGTAGACTTATTCCTGATGATGGGCCTTGCCCGAAAATTTGATCTAATGTATATCAATTGCAGTGTAGCCTAGAGACCGTTAGAGAGAGAGTGTGTACAATGTGTGTGTACAGGATGTATGGATTCAAGTATTGGCTACAGTGGAGTCTCCAAACCTTGAGAAAAGTAATACATACGACAGTACAACAAGAGAGAAAAGTTTGTTCACAAAACCATCGCCATGGGAACACACCAGAACTACTGTAAAAAAGAGCCAAGAGCAGCATGTATCAGAAAGGAACTGGAGCATGCATGCGTACCACAGCAAGCGCAAACAGCTGCACAGCATACATGAAACATGACACTACTATTATAACAGCATACATGCATGCGTACAAGAAAGCCGCAACCACAGGATGAATCACGCACATAAATCACATGACAGGCAACAAGAGGTAAGAAGTAATGTCAACTACACAAGACAGAGTCATACAAGAGAAAGCCATAGTTCGATTACAAGCTATTCTGACAGTTGCACTGCACGAGGGAGAGGCGAATGCGATCGTCAAAATCTAATGATAGACAAAATCAAGGAAATGCAGCGTAGCTTGAAGGAGACAAAAAAACTGGCGATGTTTTGTAGGGTGACGCGCTTGCAGATGCGCCCAGAGACACCAGCAGCGATGAAAACTAGAAGGTCAGCCCAAGAGACGATACAGTAGATATCTATCTACCATCTCTTGGTTGAGTTTTTAGTTGGTTTGTTTTTGTATTTATGGATTCTCCACAGGCCGTAGCCTAAGTCGAGAGAGTCTCCGTCAACAGCTTATGAAGAAGAAGCTGAGGAGAAAAATAAAAAATAGGAAATAGAAAGATGCGGGGTGGTAGTAATATAACCAACTGCTCTATGACATCGCTACTCTACTTGGAATAAAACCAGAGGGCTCATCACGGATGATAGCAAAGTGTGTGCGGACAAGAGCGGTAAAACATTTTGGGCTATATACAGTACGAATGGCATCCGGGAGGGAGTTCCATGTGGCAGTGGTGACAAAGAGAAAGGTGGCACACGTGTGTGTGCTGGCTCTAGCAGGTGGGAGTAGATGCTGGGGCGCCTGGCGCTGTTTAACACTGAGTAGCCTCTCTTGCCACTCTTGCCTGTAGCCGTTCAAGGGTAGTAGCCTGAGCACTGGAGAGTTAAAATTGCCAGAGGGATGAGGCGTATTCAACCACAGGTCGAACATATCCAGTGTACAAGCGGCTGGCTACGGCTGGGGTGATACGCTTGATCATGTGGATCAGCAGGACCGCTCGCTGGCGAAACTTCGTCGTGATGGTGGCGATGTGGTTGGTGAAGTAGTTCTGGTGCTCACTTGTACAAATGATTGAGTTTTGAAGTTAAGCGCACATTTGAACAAGGCGGACAAAGTAGCTCAACTAAAGTAAACCGTGTGTACAGTAAAACCTTCAACTAACGACCACCCCCCCCCTTGGTACCAGAAGAAATGGTCTTTAGTGGCATGTGGTCTGTTACAGGTTTGAACCGCACGACAATAATTCCTTGTCTGATATGCATGACAAAATGCAGCTAATGAAAATTCCCACCACTTGCGCAATGCCATTTCTCCTTTGAGCAGTAGCATCGATCATAGAGCAGGTTCGAGCAATTACTCTCCAAGACGTTTCCTATAATGTTTGCTCATGAGAGAGCTCTTGAAACTATGACAGGTGCAGTGAAGCCCATAGTCAAAATGAGATTGCGTTCATTCATGCAGCTGTAGTATCAAAAGAGTCCATTCAGGACAGAAAATCATCAAAATTTCGAAGAAGGAGCTTCGAACAATCTTCTATTCCCTGCACTGCTGTCGCTACTTACTGGTCAAAATCGACTTTGGGACAAGAAAAGGCGGTCGCTGGATGCGTTCAGCAGGTAGTCGCTTGTCACAGTGCATTTTTATATATGAGACCGTCCGTGCCTGGCGAAGTGGTGTGTAGCAGCAGGCTGGCTGTTAGTCACGGTGCCGGTCTTTAGTTACAGCTTTTACTCTATTATGGCTTTGAGGCGCATTGTTCACCACATTTACAAACAGAGGAACATTCAATTTTCTAGGAACATCTTTGACAGCGAAGTGACACTGTATGAGCACGTACTCAGTTTATCAGAATAAATAAACCAGTGATCAGAACAAACAGTTTCACGCCGAGCACTTTGGCCAGTACTCACCTGTCGTGGCTCATTATCGACATTGAACATAACTTTGCCGTGCAGGAGCGACGGATCACACCACAGTAACAACTGGACACAATGAATGCTGCCATAGTAGCATGCTGCCAGCATCAGAAGAGCCTGAGTATGCAAGCGCAAATGCGCACAAACGCACAAACAAGCACACAGATACGTACGTACACACATGCACATACGCACACGCTGACATGCTCACACACACACACACACACACACACACACACACACACACACAAACACACACACACACACACGCACACACACACGAACACCATTAAAACACATATTTTGCACGCAGGTATGCACATAAGCACTCACACAGGCGCGTGTGCACACACCGCGCACACACAAAAACATACATACAGATACATACACACATATACACACACATACACATACCAAACACACAAACAAACAAAACAAACAGATAAAGATACACACATGCTAGCATGTTCAAACACACGCACACCCAAACACACAAAATAACACAGACAAACACAAACACACGGACATTTGCATGCTCGCACATACACGCACGCACACACATACACACACACACACACACACACACACACAAACACACTCAGAACTCAGAACTCAGACATGCCCCTCATCACGGAAGCGATGATATCTACCAGCTATGTTAGACATAGCAAATTGAGCTAGGATTACACCATTCAACAGCTTGCAAGGATGATGATTTAACCGCAACAGCTGATTGAAGTGGCTTTTTTCTGGCCAGTGAATCCCTATTTTTCATTTTCTTTCTCCACTTTTACACACAGAGACACACACACACACACACACACACACACACACACACACACACACACACCTTTGACCTTTGACGCCCAACGCCGGAGGCGATGATAGCAATGCTACGGCAGATGCCATATCAACTTGTGCTGGGATTGCACCATTCAACAGCTTGCAAGGCTGAAGAATTGACCGTCACTATTCAGCCTGGTCTACACCATACAGCTATTTGAAGTGACTTTTTCTGGCCAGTGAATCCCTATTTTTGGTCTTTTTTCTTCTTTTTTTCCCGCACACACATCACACCACATACTCCGGCATGCACTGGCTGTTGGTAACCACCCAGGAGAATGAAAGAAAAGTCAGGAAGAGTCTGAGAAAGAGAAGAAAGACGTGTGTGACCATAATCGTCGGGAATCGAACCCGCAACCTATCGATTGGAAATCGCTGCACATACCACTGCACCATATGGGACACACACACACACACACACACACACACACACAAAGAAGCACACACAGGCTAGCACACTCAAATACGACCTTCCCATCCAAGTATGTACGCACACTCCCGCATACACATGTGCACGCACACGCACACACACACACACATACACACACACACACACACACACACACATACACACACACACACACACACACACACACACGCACACACACTTGTACTTGCTCACTGCCAAAACTGGTCACGTGAGTCTCACCGGGGAGGGGAGAGAAACTCCAAAGGAATCTTGGAAAGATGACTCAATTAGCTATTGAACCGCCCAACGGCCTATACCCCTGAAATCCGCAAACTAGCGTGGACTTGAAAGTATCCAACTTATGGGCTCACCACACCTCAGTTAGTGGGGGAGGACAAGGTGACAAAAAGGATTGATGGCATCAAGGGATCCGTCCCGGGATCCAACTGCAGTTAGTTCCAGCCTCTGGACGTCATCTCTGACGATAGTTGGCAGCTAGTGTCATCAGAGCCACCCAGACCCAAGAAATCTGTCCTGTATGTCGGTAACCTGAGTGAGTCATGCACTGACGACGACATCAAAGCTTTCACCCTGAAAAGGTCAGGCACAGCCGGGACTCCAGCTACTGTCCATAACTGTAGCATCCACAAGGCTGAAAATGGCAAGATATCTGCAAGGATCACTGTGGATGCCACTGCCATCGCACTCATCACCTCACCAAACTTCTGGCCAAGGCCACTCTATGCCAGACCGTGGAAGTTTAAGCAACGTTCAGTTGAGCCTGATCGTGACGACTTGCCTCGCAGCCCGGGAGTCAACACGGAGCAGTCCGGCTTGGCAGAATGACTACTGCAAGTCTCCGGCTGCTAGTCACAAACGCCTTTGGGCTGCTGTCCAAACTCGGCGAGTTCCAAAACAATCTGAGTTCAACTAAGCCTGATATAGCGATCGTCACAGAAACGAAATTCACGCCGGACAAGGTTCCACTCGCCATGTCAACTATTCCTGGCTATGCAGCACCTATTCGCCAAGACCGAACTGCTTCAGGCGGGGGCGTAGCTGTCTGGGTGAAGTCCAACCTGCATGCTCGGCACCTTGACACCATTGACTGTAAAGGTTTTGAGGTAGTATGGCTCTTAGTAGATTCATGCTCTCATGGCAAGGTTGTAGTCTGTGCTGTGTATCGTTCCGGTTCAAGTAGCCCATCAGATTGCTCCGTCATCGACTACCTAGACAGCTCATTACCTGCAGCACAGCAACTCGGTGACCATGTAGTCATTGCAGGGGACTTTAATGTCCACAATTCCGCCTGGCTCAAAAGTAGTAAAACAACATTGGCTGGTCTTGCACTGGAGGATCTAGCATCTGCTTATTGCCTCACGCAGCATATCACGGATCCCACTAGAGGTGATGCCATTCTAGACCTTGTCCTTTCAGACTTGCCTGGGCATGTGAGCACTTCTATCTGTAAGCCCCTTGGACGCTCTGACCATGCGGTCATCATCGCAGACTTCTTGACAGTTTCTCCCTCAGAGGAGGAGAGCTCTACTAGAACAGTATGGCGCTACAACAAAGCCGATTGGTCGAGACTGAGGGCACACTTCAGATCCGTAGATTGGCTGCAAGTCACTGCTCCCCATACCGACTGCAACAAGGTCTGGGATGTCATCTCAGAGACAATTCTAGTGGGGATGCACCGATTTATCCCGTGCAAGCAATACACTACAACACCCTCTGACCCTCCATGGTGGAACCCAGAGTGTCTGGACGCAGTAGTCCTCAAGGAACAGGCCTGGCGGCGCTGGAGGAGATTTCCATCTTCTGAGCCTCTGAAGCAGACATTTTTACAATCAGTCAACCATGCCTCAACTGTGATGGACACGGCCCGCCTAGCTTGGGAACGGCGTGTCCGGGCTAAGCTCTGTGCGGGTAATCTGCGTGACAAACAGTGGTGGTCGGTGATGAAATCAGTCGCTGGTGTTAAGCGCTCCTCTGATATCCCAACCCTGATTGATGCACATGGGCAGGAATGCGCAACCAACCTGGCAAAGGCAAAATGCTTTGGATCATTCTTTTCCAAGAAATGCAGTCTTGCCTCCGACATATCAGTGGACAGCCTGCCTGCTGCCTCTGGCGACAGTAAAACTCCATCAGTCACAAGGATCCATTTCCGGGCTGACACAGTACGACGACATCTGGCAAGACTCGACTCCTCCAAAGCCACTGGACCAGACAATATCCCAGCTAGGGTACTCAAGGAATGCGCAACTGAGCTTGCGGGGCCCCTAGCACGCCTCTTCTCCCTGTCTTTCAGTACTGGCCACCAACCACAGGCATGGAAGGTTGCCCGAGTAGTTCCAGTATACAAAAAGTCCTCCAAATCCGCTGAAAAGAATTACCGACCAGTCTCGCTGCTTTCTATATGTTCCAAAGTAATGGAGTCCATCATCAACCGCCAGTTAATGAACTTTCTGGAGGGACAAAACCTCCTATCACCAAGGCAATTTGGCTTTCGCCGAGGCCTAGGTCCATCCGATCTACTTACGGGACTACACCACAAGTGGTCGGCCACATCTGGCCTTGGTGGATCTGTGGAGGTGCTTGCTGTCGACATCGCCGGGGCTTTTGACAAAGTCTCCCACACAGGTGTACTGCACAAGTTGCGGAACATCGGTGTGAAGGGCCCCCTCCTGGACTGGCTTAGAGATTACTTAACAGGTCGTTCGCTGGAAGTGGTCATCGGCGGCAAGAGCTCCGATCGCTATCCGATCTCTGCAGGAGTACCACAAGGCAGCATCCTTGGACCGTCCTTGTTCCTAGTATATGTAAATGATGCTGATAGCTGTCTGGCTCCAGGGTCTGAAATGGGAACATTTGCAGACGACACCACGCTGTATGCCTGCGTCAATACACGCGATGATGCCATACACCAAGCTGACAGTCTTCAAGCTTCCGTTAATGCGTTACATGCATGGGGAACAAAGTGGCATGTTAAGTTTGAACCATCCAAGTCGCAGCTCCTACGAATCTCCTGCCATCGACAGCAGCCTTGGCCTGTCCCCGCAATAAACTTTGGAGGGGAGGTCATCCCACAACAGCCACACCTCAAGCTCCTCGGAGTTATGGTTGACTCCAAGCTATCCTTTTCCGCCCATCTCCGGTCAGTTGCTGCCAGGGCAAACTCACGTCTTGGCCTCCTACGTAGAGCTGCTCGTGTTCTGGACTGCCGTGGCATGCTGGCCGTGTATCACGGCTTCGTCCGGCCCCTGCTCGAGTACGCTCCCCTTGTCTGGATGGGAGCTGCTCCCACTAACCTTGAACACCTTAACAGAGTTCAGAGGCGTGCCCTCCACATCCTCCATACAACATCATCAACACCTGGAATGCGCTGCCATCCTCCCTCTTCACCAAACCACCATCTCCTAAGGGCCTACAATCCTTCAAAGCGAACGTCCACTACCATCTTCGCCGAAGCCAGTGGCTTTGGGCCACAGACTCCCTCTAACAGTTCAGAACTATTTCCATCCTGAAGCTCCCCCCCCCCCCAAGCATTGCATGATGTTCACTGCATCTGAACTGCCTTTGAATCTATTTTTCTCTCTTCTTGTTCTCTCTCCACCCCCCCCTCTCTCTCTCTCACTCACTCTCTCTCTCTCTCTCTCTCTCTCTTTCTCCACCCCCCCCCTCTCTCTCTCTCTTTCTTTCTCCTCATCCATTCTACCTCACCTTCTCTTGTCTTTATCGCACTAAATCACCCCCCCCCCTCTTTTAGGCTATGGTGCGCAAGCTCACGTTAACGCCGAGACCATAGGTCGGTGTTGTGGGCTTGCCTCACCAGCACAGGCTTGCTTTGCAGCCCCTACTC